TTATGCAAACCATACTATTTAGTTTTAAAAATTGCATTTTATGCAAATTAAAACAACTTTGATATACCACTTCACACCTATCAGATTTGCTAACATGACGGAAAAGGAAAATGACAAATTCTGGAGGGGATGTGGAAAAATAGGGGGACACTGAAGTACCATTGGTGGAATGATAAGCTGATCCAACTATTCTTGAAAATAATTTGGAATTATGCCCAAAGGGCTATGAAACTGTGCATACACACATTTTGGCCCAACAATACTACCACAAGGTCTGTATCCCAAAGAGATCAAAGAAAAGGGAAATAAACTTATATGTACAAATGTATTTCTAGCAGCTCTTTTTGTGGTGGCGAAGAATTAGACATTGAGGGAATGCCCATCCATTAGGGAATGACTGAACAAGTTGTTCAATGGTTGAACAAGAACAATCATATATGATGGAATATTATTATGCTAGGAGAAATGATGAGCAGGAAGACTTATATGAACTGATGCAAAGTGGAGTGAGCAGAACCAGGAGAACATTGTACATAGTAACAGCAATATTGTACAATGAACCACCGTGAATGACAGTTATTCTTAGCAATAAAATGATCCAAGACAATTCTAAAGGACTTGTGATGAAAAATGGCTATCCACCTCCAGAGAGAGAACTGATAAACTCTGAGTGGAGATTGAAGCAGATTTTTTCACTTTATTTTTCTTGTTTTATTTTTGTGTCTGTGTGTTTTTGTTTGTGTTTTTTTTTGAAACATAGCTAACCATACTTCACTTGTATAATCAATATCATATTGCTTGCCTTCTCAAGGGGTGGGGGAGGGGCAAGAGGGATAGAATTAGGAACTCAATTTTTTTAAATGAATATTTAAAAAAGTTAAGTGTAATTGGGAAATAATGAAATAAATACAAAGATACTTAAAAAGAAAAATTACATTTCATATTCAAGGCATTTTCAATTATTCAGTTCAGGTTAGGAATTACTGAGTCCTTCAGAAATCTGGGATGGGATATTATGAATAAATGTAGCAAATGGGGGAAAGGTCCTAGAAAAAGGAGCAAGTGGGAGTGATTTAGAACTTAAAGATTGTCTTGTATAGTTTGTTAGTGATTGACATCTCCTCTCTCTAAAAAGACTAAAAAGTCCTTGAGCACCAATGCAGCCTTCTATTTCACTGAGAGCACTTGGTACAAATCCACCATTGAATAAAAGGTCAAAGGGGAAATTCCTCTGTCTGCACTTCAGTGTCTGCTTGTGTCCTTCTCCACCTTCACATGCCCATGTGGTCCACCCAAACACCAGGCCCTCCTGTCACCTTCAGGATGCTCAAGGTAGCCTACTGGGGTGTCCATATCTGCCTTTCTCCAGAGAGCATTCCACTTTCTTGATCTACTCCCCATTGGTAAAACTTAATCTCATTCATCAAAATGTTGGGAAGCGGTTGATAAATTCATTCACCCTAGAATGTTTTCACCGCACTCTGAGTGGACTTGTAGGAAGAGGGTGTTACAGACTTTTGAGGGTATTATTTGTCCTCCTCACTCTTACTATGTCACCTCAGTAAAATACCTATTGCTAAAATTCAGTCAAGTCTGGCTGGCAAATTGACATCAATTGATAATGAGGGCATGGCCTCAACTAAGCCATCCTGGGTTATTCCTAGAACCTAGAACCTAGAACCTAGACTAGACTATCTAGGAATATTCCTAGAACCTTGAGGAGAGAAAGAGGTGGGCTATAATTGTACCAAATTTACAGTCAGAGGACCTGCATTAAAATCTTGACCTTGCTACTTACTACCAGTTTGGTAGTCACCTAACTTCACTTGGCCTCAGTTTCTTCATATGTAAAATGAGAGTTACACAGAACAACCTCTTAAAGATGTCTGTTCCATGTCTGAATCTCTAGTCCTTTAACCCATCAAGATATTTTTGGATCCTAACTCTCAGTGTTAACTATCCTTCCCACCTTCTTCTCATGTAGAAAGGTGATATGCACCACCAAATGTGCTAAAAAGGACAGTGCCAGGTGAGATCACATGATCTGCAAGAAAGCTGGCTGTTGTTTCCACTATAAAAACAAACAAACTAAGATTATTCCATGAAACATAGAATTCTGGGCCTCCCTATAGATCATGAAATAACAAGAAACTCCCAGAAGTTTCCAAAAGAAGTAAGATGTCTACAATCAGAAACACACACACACACACACACACACACACACACACACAAACACCAGAAAAAGAGGCATTGACGAGACCTGATGGGATGTCTCCCCAAAGAAGAGAGGTAGTGAGAGGGCCAAACAAAGTGGGACCACAAAATCCCTGAAGAGGAAGGTCATTTGGCAGAAGAGAGGTACAGGGCTGCCGAGGCCAAAGAAATCAGAAATGGAATTCACTCACAGGGACTGCCAGACCTTGAAGACTTGAGGCACAAGAACAGTAATTGGGTGAGCCTGGCTCTCTGGTCTTCAAGTAGCTGGCCAACACTAGGCATGGCCCTTGGTAAGCAACCATCAGGAAGAGTGAGGTCACCCTGAAGGAGCAGTGAACCAAGACTCCCATCCCTGCTTTCAGACTGCTGAGGAGGTATACACAGCAGAAAGGTGACTCCAGAGCTAATCTAAGCAGGGTTACTGGTCTGGCTTTGGAAGGAGAGCAAGGAGCCAGACTCCACAGGTCAGACTCTAACCCCCAAGCCTAGCCTGTGATAGAGAGCACCAGACCTATTGCATCAGATAACAGCCCAACCCACCCCCACATGTGGTGCCATGACAACTCCCTGTTTCTGAAGGCAGTCCTCCAGGTTGGGTCCCCAGGGATGGGGTCCTCAGCCATGAACCACTAGCCCTGAGGGGTGGAAGAAATCTTTTCTGGGGTCATGAACTAGAGTTTAGGCAAGTTAAAGAGGATCTTCCAGATGGTCCAAACAGGGGGCGGGAGGGCCTGCCACTGGGCTGCAAGGAAGGCAGCCAGCCTGCCCCCCTGGGCAACACCCAAACTCTGAAGGGAATTGCACCCAACTCCTGTGGGGATGGGTGTACAGTGTCCTTGCCAGGCTCAGAGGGCTGCATGCGCCTCAGGCACCAGCCACAGTGGAAATCAGGAAAGGAGCTCGGTTGGCCAGTCTGGGACACCAGACATCAAGCACCAGGTTCATCACCAGCCCAATCTAGGAGAAGGGCTGCAAATGAGTCTCTGTCCCTGGTCCTTGTCTGAGGCACCTGAGTGGTGCCCCTCACAGGAGCTCTGACCCCCAGGAAACCTCACCCCTTGTGAGACTGGGATGACTGGAGGGAACCTCTGCTCACCAATCCCTCCTGCAGGTTGAGGGTGGAGCAAAGACCCAGACCCTGAGTCTGTTCCCAAGGGTAGTGGTCACACAGGGGTAAGTGGTGTGGGGAGGAACCTAGGGGCTCAGCCCCCAAGTGTCTACCCCTTGAGCTGCCAAGACGCAGAGGGAAGCTTCACCCCACTGTCCCCAATTGAGGCTACATTTAGGGAGCCAGAAGCCTTGCCCCAGAGTGTGAGAAAATGGGATGGGAAGGGTAGAAAACCCCCTCCCAACCCTTTGCTGGATTCAGGATTAAAAAATCAAGAGTACCAACACCTGGGACAAGTTTAGAGACCAGTGTGCCCACGGAGACAGTGGCTGCCCTCTCCTCCTAGGCTTCAGCGAGTGCGGGGGGCTTGGGAGAAGGATCCTTAGGACACAGAGCTCCTCCAGGAACAGTCCACCCACCCCCTCACTCAGTTCCTGAAAGCCAATCTTGACTCTAGCCCTAATTCTCAGAATTCTGTTTTTAGGAGACTTCTCACTGGAGGTTTTAAGAAGGTACAAACAAGACTTACTTGTGCAGGCCACTTGGGCATCTTGACTGTGAGAACAGTTATGCTCTTTCCAGCCATTGTGTCTGCAGTCCCAAAGGGCAGATTCACTGCCGTGACAGGAAACACCAGCCAACCAAAAGGGTCCAGGTTCAACAGTCCAATTCCTCCACCCGGGGATGATGAAAGTAGATGGACACCCCAGCTGCTTGCAGACCACAGAAATCTCATTTCTGCCCCAGCCATCATTGCACACCAGGCCCCACTGACCCTGGAATTTCACCTCCACTCTCCCAGCACATTTGCTGCTTCCATTGGCCAGCCTCAGCTCCAAGTTAGAGTCCCCTGCAATAGACACGGGCTTGGGTCACAGGAGAATTCACAGGAAATTCAGCATAAATTCGACAACACTTTGAGATCTCTTTGGCCATCTTTTTCCCCTTCCATTTCCAGCATTCCTCCAGCTCTATCCCTGGTGAGCTCTGGGGAGAGCATATCCCACTTCCAGAAAGAAGTCACCAGAATTCTACTTAGCATTGTGGACTTTGAATCAAGACAAGGAAAGGTGCTGAGTACAGCCTTCAAATGGGGCTTCCACACAATGACTTCTTTGACTCCTGCCTTCTTCTGCTACTCTCAACCATATCAAGGATACAACATCCTCCCCTGGATCTTTTATTTCTGAAACCTCAAGCCCTCAAACTTTTCACACAAAGACCTACTCAGTTCCCGAAAGCCTGATGATCTTGGGTACTTAGGGAAGTGCTGAATGGACAAGCAGTGTGGTATATTGGATAGAATATTGTATTGGAATCAGGAGGAACTGGGTTCAAATCCTTCTTTGGACTAGCTACATGGCCAAGGGCAAGCCACCTAATCTTTTTTGAACCTTAGTTTCCTCGTCTGTAAAATAAAACTAGTAATAACTGTAGTACCCATCTCACAAGATTGCTGTGAGTCTCAAATGAGGCCAGCTATGTAAAGCCTTCCCCTCTTAAAGAAGACTAGCAGCTCTAGGAGAACCAAACCATGGTACATGTCCTAGCTTGTTTCAACCATGTTTTGGGATGGAATTTTTCAGAAAGTCCTCTTCCATAAATAGCAAGGAAAAGGATTCCTTCTAATTTCTACTCTCTCTTATTCACTTCTATCAAGTTGTCCTCCTAGCCCAATTCTTATCCTCAATACACTTTAAAAATATTGAGCTCATGGGAGGTCCCTCTGGGAAAGCGGAGGTGGGGGGTATAAGGGAAATAGAGATGACATAAAAATAAAATTTAGCAATGAAAATAATAATAAAAGCATCAACCTCTTTCATATCAGATATAAAATGGGAACGTTGGTGAAAGACGGAGGGAGGGGTTTGGAAGGGATATTATAGGAAAACAGGCACATTAATGCATTCCTGCTGGAGTTTAGAATTGGTGCAACCATTTTGAAAAATAATTGGATGTTATATAATAAAAATCACAAAACTTTTTGTACTTTGACCCAGAGTTGACTTGAGGGCACTTTTGAATGAGAAAAAAGACCTGCATATGGAAAAAATTCGAAGACACATTGTGATCACAGAAATTTGGCAACATAGCAAGTGACCTCTGGCTGAGAAAGGACTGTGTAAATCATAGGATATGAATGGAAAGGTAAGACATTCTGTAGTGAACCCCAGGAAGGAATCCAAGAAATTTCCATGAAGTAAGGCAGAGTGCAAAGAGAAACTAGATGACTTGTCACAAAATCAGGGAAGGCCACGAGGGCTAGACAGGAAGAAGGTCGCTGCTGGGTCTAAGTGAAGTGAAAGCACCAGCACACCCTTCTTTCCCCCAGCAGACTGTCACCTGGTAAGGCTGAGGTTTTGTGCCCACCAGTGAAATCCCCAAGAATATTGTTTCTATCAATTAAACATCTGAAAATGCACAAAAGAGAAGGGAAAGAAATCAGGAAAGGGATACAGTCAAGCTAGGCAATGTTAGTACTATTATATTCAATGTAATGCGTATTTAAAAGAAGCTGAATGAAATGGAGTCACAGTGTTATATACAATCCTCTTTCTCCTGGCCTTCTTTGTATATGGAAATGTTCATGGTAATTGGTGATTTTCAAATTCATAATAAAACATTTTTAAGAAAAAAAAAGAATCTTGTTTCTGTGTTGTTTTGAGGGACTAGCAGACCATGTGTTGGGCCAGTACTGTCAATGAATGCTAGATGGAGCCATTGCGCTTCCTTGAAACCAGAAAGATCGGTAACAAAGTAACGACTTAAACAGGATGCTCCTTGATTTGTCCTCGTCTCTTCCCCACCATTTTGCCATTTGTTCTTTCTAAGGCCTCCCTCATTCTATTGCTGGACTATCTTTCTAGCAATCGTGCCAGAGATGCAAAAAGATTTCTGAAAGAGCACCAGTGAAAGAGTTCTCAATGGACAGAACAATGTACAGGAGATGCCAACAAACAGGGCAATTGGTTATTACCTTGTTAAATAAAAAACGTATCTATCCATCCACCTATCTGTTTGTTTGCCTATCGGTCTGTCTTTCTGTCTGTCTGCCTATCTATCTATCTATCTATCTATCTATCTATCTATCTATCTATATCTTTCTGTCTGTCTGTCTATCTGTCTGCCTATCTGTCTGTCTGCCTATAGGTCTGTCTGTCTGTCTGCTTATCAGTCTGCCTGTCTGCCTGTCTGCCTGACAGTCTGCCTATCTATCTATCTGTCTGTCTGCTTGTCTGTCTATTCTAAACCCAAAATATGCATAAGAGAACTGCAAAGTTTCTAATGAAAGCCTCTTTGGTGTTCCTTTTTATTTGCTAATGATTCTTATGTTCATGATAAAAGGGAACTGCTGGTTCTTGCTGGTGTTTCTAGGTGGCCAGAGGGGCTGAGTACCTCTGCACTTTGGCCGACAGTAAAGCGTGTCTTGGACTTCCAGAGAGAAGTAGAGGCAGCATAGATTCCTGGGAAGGGCACTGGATTTGTGGTCAGGAGACCTGACTTGGAGGCCTAGCCATTGTAAACAAAGCAGGACATCTCCATGCTGAGTGCAATGATTTATGCACTCTCTACCTCTTGAAGTTGGCATCAGAAAGGCTTGGTAAACCATCCAGGGATAAACACAATTGAGTCACCAGCTGCCTTCATTTTTATGGGAGCCTGAGGCTCCCTCTGAGTTATTTCCATTCCCCAACACACTATCTCAAGAGGCAGTTTGCTCTAACTGGTCAGAAGAATTCCTGTACATCAAATCAAAGGGTTTTCCTTGGTAACTTGTATCCAGTGTTCCCATGTCTTTCCTCTAGGGCCAAGCAGAATGAGGCAACCATGCTTCTTCCAGGGCTGGGCAAACTCAGTACTCACCAACACAGCTAGTAAGAAAATAGGCACTCAAGATCAGGATGAGAAGCCCATAAATCCAGGCATTCAGCTGGGGCCAGTAGCTTCCAAACTCTGTGGGGACAAGGAAGACACCAAGACTGAGGACTCACAGGACCTCAGAGACTTGGGTTGGCTATATGACTAGAGCTAGAGTGACTTTTCTGTCAGGGCAGCAGCTAGGGGGTGCCGCAGTGGATAGAATGCTAGGCCTGGAATCAGGAAGACTCATTTTTCTGAGTTCGAATCCAACCTCAGACACTGAAGCCACTTCACCCTGCTTGCCTCAGTTTTCTCATCTGTAAAATGAGCTAGAGATAGAAATGGCAAACCACTCCGGTATCTTTGTCAAGAAAACCACAAATGTGGTCATGAAGAGTTGGACATGACCGAACAACAACAGAATGACTTTTCTGCTAAATAACAAAGGGGTGACCTAGGAGCCCAGTGCTGACTCAAGGGAAACTTAGAG